TCGGTTGTGGGGCTTGAACTCTGGGCCTGGGCGCTGTCCCTCAGCTCTTCAGCTCAAGGCGAGCGCTCTACCACTTGAGCTACAGCGCCACTTCCGGTTTTTTTTCTGGTGGTTTTATTGGAGATAGGAGTCTCACGGTCTCTCCTGCCTGGGCTGGCTTTGAACTTCGATCCTCAGATCTCAGCCTACTGAGTAGCTAGGATTACAGGCGTGAGCCACCAGCGCCCAGCTCCAACTAATTTTGTATATTGCACAGATAAGGCTTTTGTTGTTGTTGTCTGTGGGGCTTGAACTCAGGTCCTGGGTGCTGTCCCTGGGCTTTTTTACTCAAGGCTAGTGCTCTACCACTTTAAGCTGTAGCTCCACTTCCGGTTTTCTGGTGGTTAATTAGAGACTTCCTGCCTAGTCTGGCTTTGTTCCGTGATCCTCAGATCTCAACCTCTTGAGTAGCTGGGACTATAGGCATGAGCCACCAGTGCCCAGCTGAGACTTTTTTTTTTTTTTTTTTTTTGAGGATGAGGCTTTTATGGGCAAGTTCTGAGTCTTCTAGAATATTCCTTCTTCCCCTGTTGTAGGGCAGGGGCCCCAAGGCAACCTTTTACTGACCCAAGTCTTCTACCTTGCTTTGGTGAATAGAGGTAGGAATGTATAACAGAGATCTCTTCTGCATGTCTGCCTTGAGGACTGAGGGGCTTCTTCAAATCTGTAATGTGGGTACCTTGAGGCAGACTGATCCAGAAGGTCAGTGTTAGCACCTGAGCTGGCATCGTCCAGGCCCTTCAGGTCTGCGTTGTGACTGGGCGTGGAGCACTGGCCGAGTCAGGAGCTGTGTTCAGTCATGTAAGTAGGAGTGAATGGGCTGAGGCTGTCCTATTTGCACCCCAGGCCCCTGGCTCCATGGAGAGTTCTACTTTCTAGTCAGCTTACATGCTTGGGTGGGGAAGAATGTGTTAGCATGTTTGCAAAGTGAGGGGCCTGAAGACACCCCACACTTCTGATGCCCTCAACTCAACCTGGAGGTGTCAAGGTGCACCCTCTACCCTATTTTTCTTCTAGTGTCATTACTGCGGCTTGAACTCAGGGCCTAGGCACTTTTCAGCTTTTTCTACTCGAAGATAGAACTTTTTGTTGTTGTTGTTGGTCGTGGGGCTTGAACTCTGGGCTTGGGTGCTCTCCCTGTGCTCTTCAGCTCAAGGCGAGCGCTCTACCTACCGCTTGAGCCACAGCGCCACTTCTGGTTTTCTGGTGGTTTATTGGAGATAGGAGTCTCACGGTCTCTCCTGCTCGGGCTGGCTTTGAACCGCGATCCTCAGATCTCAGCCTCCTGAGTAGCTAGGATTACAGGCGTGAGCCACCAGCGCCCGGCTGGCTATGACTTTTTTTTTTTTGGTCTGTTGTGGGCTTGAACTCAGGGCCTGGACACTGTCCCTTAGCTCTTCAGCGAGTGCTCTACCATTTGAGCTACAGCACAACCTCCAGTTTTCTGGTGGTTAATTGAAGATGAATCTCACCGACTTTCCTGCTCGAGCTGGCTTTGAACCACAATCCTCAGATCTCAGCCTCCTGGATAACTAGGATTACATAAGGTGTGAGCCATTAGCGCCCAGCCTGGCTGACTCATCTCCAATTAACCACCAAACAGCTGTGGAGCTATGGCTCAAGTGGTAGATCACCAGATTTGGGCAAAAAATTTAAATGAGTGTCTAGGCCTTGAGCTCAAGCTCCAGCGCGCGCGCACGTGCACATACACACACACACACACGCACACACAGTGTCTAGGTCTTGAGCTCAAGCTCCAGCACATGCGCGCGCACGCGCACACACACACACACACACACACACACACACATATTTCCAGCTTTAGCACTTCCTAGATAATCTAACTTGAGCCTATTCTCTTATGACCCCTTCATGACTAGGTTTCTGTGAAATTGGAGTCAACAATTATTTTTCACGAATACTCCTGCCAGTCCTTGGGTAGCATTAATGGCACTGGCTCAGGGACAGAAACATGGCTCTGGGAGGGGCGGTGGGTGGCTGAGATCTTAAGGAAATCAGCTAATGACAGCAAAATGGCTGGCTTTTAGTCCTGGCTCAGGCAGTGCTGGAAGCGCCTGGCCCAAGAAAATGGCTGAGAATTTGGGACCTGGCTTTGGTGGGTTTTTTTGGTCTGGTTGTGGGGCCTGAACTCTGGGCCTCGGTGCTGTCCCTCAGCTCTTCAGCTCACACTCTACCACTTGAACCACAGTGCCACTTCCGGCTTTTTTTTTCTGCTTATGTGGTGCTGAGGGATGGAACCCAGGGCCTCATGCATGCAAGGCAAGCGCTCTACCACTGAGCCACCTTCCCAGCCCCTGGCTTTGGTGGTTTTTTTCCATCCATTCCTCACTATAAGCCAAGTGACAGGACAGATGGGTCAATGCTAGATTGAGAGCAGGCAGGTGACTTTTTTTTTTTGGGGGGGGGTGCTGCCAGTACTGGGGCCTTTGTGCTTAAGGCCAGCACTCTATCACTTCAGCCACAGCTCTGCATTTTGAAGGTTAGTTGAAGATACGAGTCTCATGGATTTCTCTGCCTAGGCTAGCTTTGAACTACAATCCTCAGACCTCAGCATGCTCAGCAGCCAGGATTACAGGCATGAGCCACTGGTGCCCGGACCACAGATGACATCTAAATGAGCCAGAGGTAGCCCAGTGGAAAAGGACCAAGGTAGTGAGCACGTGAATAGTCAATAATGTCCAGTCACTGAGGCTGACTAACGGAGCCATAACCAAGAGACCCCAGAAACCAAACAAACCAGGAAGAAGCCGAAAGCTATTATATATCATGCTTTTAATACAAACTTAAAAAAATCTGGAACAATATAAACTGTACAGATTTGATCAATCTTTTTGTGTTTTTTTTAAACTAAACCTCTAAACACACCAATGTCCCATTCCAAAATATTGCACAACATTCTGAATACAAAACGTCTGATTGTATTCCTCCTTCACTAAAGAAAAACAGGTCATTTCCCTGCGCCCCAGCTCCTCTGCGGCTGTCTCAACATCCCCTTCCCATCCCCAAAGACTGAAGAATCTATCCAGAGTGCTCTGCGCTGCGGAAAGACCACCCTTCTGAACAGTTTTCCATTCTTTACAAAATAATCCCCCGTGTGACTCGTTCCTGGGAAAGGAGGACAGAGACAGAGGATAGGAAAAGGGGAGAAAAAGGTTTTATTCTCCTCTTTTTTTAAAGTTTGTTTTTCCTGAAAAAATATCAGTTTATCTTTTTTAAGAAAAAATCTTGAAAAGAAAAAAATTTACGTTTCTTAGGTTAGAAATATACATATATTATATATACCTCTTACATTTTACAAATGTAGCAAATTATCAATACAAACGGACACCAAGAAATGTAAAAAATAAAAAAAAAAAGTCCTATGAAACCAGGTACATTGTAGTGCAGAATTGTGTGGTTTTTTTTCTTCTTTTTCCTTTAAAAAAAATAAAGTTGAAGCAAAAATGCCTGGATTTGAGACAAGACAGACTGAACTGGGCATGGAAGCCCAGCGCTGGAGTCACGGTCCTCAACACTCATTTTTCTTCTTTTAAAGGGGGCTTGGACCCCTTCCCCCTACCTCGCCCAGCCCAGTGCAGGGAGGGGGGGCCAGTGTGCATGGGTGGGTGGGGTGGACTGGGAAGCGGGGATAAGGCAGCGCCCAACCTGTCCCAGAGAGAAGCCATCTGCCTGGGGCCTGTCACCTGTGCGTCAGCCAAGGACAAGAGAGGGTGGCCGGGCTGGGCCGGCCCCTGAGGTGGAGGGAACAGATGGTGCTGGGCGCAGAGCAGGCTCTGCCCACTGGGGAGGTAGTGCTGGTGTCCACTGCAGGGAGAGGCTGGCAGTGTCTGTCTGGGCCCTCTCCACAGCCACAGCAGTTCCACTTGGGGTCCCTGGGGGGTGGGCATGGAGTCAGGTGCCAGGGGTCCTGGTGCTAAGTACTCGTAGGCCAAAGTATGGTGGTTTGAAGCTGCTCCTGGGTTGGAGAAAACCCTCCCTTCTAGAAACGGGGGGCAAGGGGACCGCTGTGACCCCAGGGCCTTGTGCCATCCAGCCTGACCTTCCAGGAAACCGGGCCTCACAGGGTGTGAGCCGCGAGGGGAGATGGCATGGGACAGCAACTCAGCAGCTGTTAGGCAGGGGTACAGAGGTGCGCGAGCGCCTCCAAGCCAGGCTCAGCGCCAAGGGACGGACGGACACACGGATACACACACACACACACACACACACGCACACACACACCAGACACACACACACGCACACACACACACGCACACGCGCACACGCACACGCACACGCACGGCACTGACTGGGAACTCCTGCTCCGCCTGCCGGGGGCTCAAGTCACATGAACGGGCCAGGGCCATCGGGGCGTGTAGGTGTCGGAGGTTGGGGGGTTCTCCCCGCCTTGGAGCAAACCATTTAAAAAAAATTTTTTTTTGGTCAAAAAACAACAAACCAAAGTGCAGATCCCTCAGTGTGGGGGACCCCCCCAACCCCTCCCGGGAGGCTCTCAGGCTCGGACACACATCACCCCGCCATGTATACACCCCTGCAAGAGGGATGACACCCCAACCTCGGTGTCACCTTGGAGAGTCACATCCAGAGGAGAAGCTCCACATGGCTCGGAATCCTTTAGCACGGTAGAGAAAACACAGACACAAACACACGCTCTGCTCTGCCCCGCCCCGCCCCGCCCCGCCCCCTTGGCATGTATCAATAGATGGACCTCGGGGCCAGGAGAGCATGGTGGGATGGGGCCAAAGGACAGAGGTGAAAAGCATTTCAACGAGACACAGTGCGTCCCTCCCTGTAGCCATCAGGACACTAGCCGCACAGGGGAGGGTGTTCAGTGGCCAGCTGAGGTTGGATGGCTTTGAGGACAGCCGGTGACATGCAGTGAGTGACACAGGGCCAGCCTCTCTCCCTGCTCTGGGGAGAGGTGTGGCTCTAGCTGCTGCCCATCCTTAAAGGAGTGTGAAGGAGGGAGGGAGGGGGGGGCTGCGAGTCACAGCTGCGCCATTCTTCGCACAGGAAGCCACTAATTAACGATGGTATAAGGAAAACTACATGTAAAAAAAAAAAAAAGGAAAAATACAAAACCCAAATCAACCGAATAAATCAGAGGCAGGCAGGAAAACGTCAAGTGGTGGAGTTAAACACAATTCGGTGCTCTGAGCCCTTCCCACTCCTCGCCCGAGCCCCGGATCTTTCTTCTAGAAGCGAGAGGGAAAAGATGGAGCCTCTTCTTGGATCGTTTTCTTGCCCTCGTGTTTTTGGCCTTTCCTTTCCTTTCTCTTTTCCCTGGTCTGGAGCGCCCCTGGCCTGACAGGCGGGGGGCGGTCAGTTGGCCAGCACCACGGGCTGGAATGGCTGGCTGGGGTACTGCATGCTGTTCAGGTTGTAGCTGAGGCCTTCCACGAAGGGCGTCTTCTCCAGGAAGAGGCTGTTAGTGCCACCTCCGAACACCTGGGCCACGTCGAAGCTGCCGCCGCTGCCGCCACCACTGCAGGTGCCAGCCCCGCCGCCCTGGCCATCAGCCCCGTCAAAGAAGAGGCTGGGCGAGCCACCACCGTTGTAGACAAACTCCTTGGCATTGGGTGAGAGCTGGGACTGTGGGGCCGCGTTGGCCGCCATGAAGTTCAGTGAATGCATAGATAAAGACAGGCTCTTGTGCTTCTGCAGGTTGGTGGTGGGTGAGCGGGCGACACGAGGTTGTTGCTGTGCTGGCTGCTGGCCGCTGGCCCCGCTGCTGGCCACCCCCCCCCCACCGGACGCCCCACCACCTTTCTTCATCTTGGTGGAGCCAAATTTGGTGGCAGCGAAGGAGGCGGTGGTGAAGGTGATGGGCTGGGAGGAACGGGGGATGAAGGTGGGGCTGGGGGACTGGCCGAAGGATGGAGACGGGGAGTTGCACAGGGAGCTGTTCTGGCTGCTGATGGGTACAAATACCTGGGCATCAGGGTTGAAGCTGCTCTTGATCTCCTTGTCCAGCTCGGGGGTCCCGCCGCCCTCGCTATCGTCCAGGTAGAGAACTTTCACAGTGCCCTTCTCCCCGATCTGGTAGGACACCTCAAAAGGGTCGATCCAGACGCTCAGCTCCTCCGGCACGTTGGCCCGCACATCCTCTACTGCCAGGCCACTCCGCTTGGCGGCCAGCTCCACCACAGGGTCCACCATCTCCCCAATGTGGACACAGCGGAAGCCAGAACCCTTCAATGGCTTGTCAGGATACCAGTGGCCCTCATATTTCTTCTTCAAAAGCCGCTCTAGCTCCTCCCCAAACAGGTCTGCCCGGCGGCGCGGCAGCTTGTTGTACAAATATGAGATGATGAAGTTCAGAGCCACTTTGATCTCCAGCTGCATGATCCTGTTCTAGGCGGCCGATGAGCTCAGCTCAGCTCACACGCACGGGCCAAGGTCAGCGGCAGGAGACACAAAGCGGGCAGCCTTGAGCTGCAAAGAGTTCTGGGAAATGATAAAGTAGAAAGGCGTGTGAATACACAGGCAAAAAGATAGTAGTGGTGATTGACAGTGAGACAGAAAAACAAGAGGCACCAGTGGTTCATGCCTGTAATCCTTGCTACTCAAGAGGTTGAGGTATGAGGATCATGGCAAACAAATCCCCAAGATACTTATCTCTAATTAACCAGCAAAAAAAGCCAGAAGCAGAGGTATGACTTGAGTGGGGCTCCAGCCTTGGGCAAAAAAGGATGAGGCCCAGTCTAGGTAATGTGCATCCTTCTCCCCACTAAAAAGAAAAATGAAAAGAGAAAGAGAGAGAGAGAAATAGAGAGGGAGAGAGAAAGAAAGCCGGGTGTGGGTGGTTCACACCTGTAATCCTAGCTACTCAGGAGGCTGAGATCTGAGGATTGGGGTTCAAAGCCAGCCGGGGAAGGAAGGTCCTGAGCTCTTATCTCCAATACGCCACTCAGAAAACTGGAAGTGGCGCTGTGGCTCGCGTGGTAGAGTGCTAGCCTTGAGCTAAAGAGCTGAGGGATAGTATCCAGGCCCAGAGTTCAAGCCCCATGACTGACAAAATAAATAAAAGAAAAAGAAAAATTAGGGGCTGGGAAGGTGGCTCGGTGGTAGAGCACTTGCCTTGCATGCCTGAGGCCCTGGGTTCAATTCCGTAGCACCACATAAGAAAAAAGAAAAAAGCCGGAAGTGGTGCTGTGGCTCAGGTGGTAGAGCGCTAGCCTTGAGCTAAAAGAGCTGAGGGACAGCGCCCAGGCCCAGAGTTCAGGCTCCACGACCGGACCCAAAAAAAAAAAAAAAGAAAAGAAAAATTAAGACAGAAGAGTGCTAACTGTGGATCACTCAGATCCCAGGGCCAATTTCTGCCCCAACAGTATCTCATCTTCAGTCACACAAGGCTAACATCAGAGAGGAAGTCTCATGCTGAACTTGATCATTAGCAGACACTTGATAAACAAGTAGAACTGGGCACTTGTGGTCATGCCTGTAATCCAAGCTACTCAGAAGGCCGAGATCTGAGGATTGTGGTTTGAAGCCAGTCCCAGCTATCAAGTCTGTGAGATTCTTTTTTTTAAATAACTTTTTCTTATTGTGAAAATACTGTACAGAGGGGTTACAATTACATGAGCAAGGTAATGAGTACATTTCTTATCAAGCATTGTTGCCTCCTCCTTTGTTTTTCCCCTACCATCCCTTCCCTCTCACCTCCACAACTATCTCCCCACCCCACCCCCACCCTAAATTGTAAAGTTCATTTTTCCACATAGCGTCTTGTACATCTGTGAGATTCTTTTATCTCCAATAAACCACCAGAAAACTAGAAGTGGGGCTATGGCTCAAGTGGTAGAGTGCTAGCCTTGTGCATAAAACGTTTTGCCCAGGGACAACTTTCAGGCCATAACTGACAGGAAAAAAAAAAATTCCATTTTCAGCCATTTTTATATCTCAGGTTTTCATGAACGATACTACAAAAGAAAGAAAAAGCCAGGCCACTAATTACAGCTGAAGAAGGCCGCAGCTGTCTCTACAATGACTCAGTAAAGTTCTGCCCCCAAACTGTCACAGGCCAAGATGTAAGTTTAAAATCTTGAGCTGTCCTCTTTAAATGGACAGGGATGCAGGTCACTGAGCAGGAAGGAGTACTGCCAACACCACTGGGGCCCGGGCTGCATTCACATCCATCTGTCATCCTAAGCCCCGTGGGTGTGTGGGCTTTGGACTCAAGTGTGGGTTTACAGAACTGACTTAAGAATTCCAAGCCAAGCCGGGCGCTGGTGGCTCACGCCTGTAATCCTAGCTACTCAGGAGGCTGAGATCTGAGGATCGGGGTTCAAAGCCAGCCCGGGCAGGAGAGACCGTGAGACTCCTATCTCCAATAAACCACCAGAAAACCGGAAGTGGCGGTAGAGCGCTCGCCTTGAGCTGAAGAGCTGAGGGACAGCGCCCAGGCCCAGAGTTCAAGCCCCACGACCGACAAAAAAAAAAAAAAAAAGAATTCCAAGCCAGGCACTGGTGGCTCATGTCTGTAATTCTAGCAACTTAGGAGGCCAAGATTTGAGGATCAAAGTTCAAAGACAGCCCAAGCCGGAAAGTCCATGAGACTCTCACCTCCAATAAACTACCAATAAGCTGGCAGAGGAGCCTGTGGTTCAAGTGGTAGAGCACAAGTCCTGAGCCAAAGAAGCCTGGGGACAGCGCCTAGCCCCCGAGCCAGCATAGAGAAACAAAAAATCAAGGTGTTCTGTAGTGTGACTAGAGCTTAAACACTTCCATCCAGAGAGCCTCTCAGAGTGGGGAGAAGACCATGATCACCAGGAAAACGGTAAGATCTGCCACAATCAGAAAAGTGGCCAACAAGGAAATCACCCACCAGGGGGCTGGCCCGGGGAAGTGGAGGAAAGGAACTGGAAGCAGAGTTGTCCAGGTCAGTGAGATCAAGAGCAGCAGTCATGTGGTCCACAGGAATCCCTGAGGTTCCTAAGTGATGAGGGTGGCAGAGGGAAGAAATTTTCCACTAGCCTCCAGCGGGGGACCCCATCACCACCGGGTCTCCCAAGGGCTGTCTGACCACCTGTCCCCATCACAGGATCAGATTTACCAAGGGTTTGGAATGCCCTGCAGAGGAGGCAGTCCAGGATAAGCACCGAGATGGTTATTTTGGGATTCTCTCGCAGCCAGACCTCGCTAAGGTCAGAAAGGTTTACTCCTTAGGTGTCCTGTTTCAGGAAGATGATCTGTGAGGTCCCCAGGGCCAGTGAACCAGTCATTCTCATCCCATTGGGGAGGAACTGAAGTGAAAAGGGCCCCGCCTGAGGGAAGGCAGGACCAGAGCATGTCCATAACCAGACCTGTCTCTGGGCAAGGTTATGTTGCTGAGCTGATCCACCCAAGGGCATCTTCTGTTCTGTTCTGGGAAGGACTCAGCTCAGGACATGATTTTGATGACAACCCCTTCTGGTTCCAGCAGAAACTATACAGATACTAATTCCAAACTTGGAGATCGCCAAGATTTTGAAGACCTGCCCTAACACAGTTCCGTACTAATTTTCAGAGCTGGGCCGAGGGTTCCTGGGGTACTTTTAGGACTGACTTTAGGCAATGATTCCTGAGGTGAGCGTGACTGAGAAGGTACACAGGGCCAATCTAATGCTGTAGAGTAGCATAAGACAGTGGCCGGGTCATTCCAGGCAGAGAGGGGGCCGTGGGCGCAAGCGTGGTGACTGTGGCCCTCCCCAAACCTGCCACGGACACTCAGTATTCAGGAAATCCTGATTCCCTTCTCATCCCAGTCTCTAACATAGACTTGGTTTCAAATTTCTCCAAATGTCCATTCATGATTAAGACAGATCAGCCAAGCGTATGGCTCATGCCTGTAATCCTACTACTCAGGAGGCTGAGATCTGAGGATTACAGTTCAAAACTAAGCAGGGCAGGAAACTCTGTGAAACTATTATCTCCAATAAACCACCAGAAAACCAGAAGTGGCATTGTGGCTCAAGTGGTAGAGCACCAGCCTTGAGCTGAGGGACAGTGCCCAGGCCCAGAGTTTAAGTCCCACCACTGACAAAAAACAAAGAAGAAAAAAACAGATCAGGGGCTGGGAAGGTGGTTCAGTGGTAGAGCGCTTGTCTTGCATGCCTGAAGCCCTGGGTTCGATTCCTCAGCACCACATAAACAAGAAGAAAAAAGCCGGAAGTGGTGCTGCGGCTCAAGTGGTAGGGTGCTGGCATTGAGATGAAGAGCTGAGGGACAGCGCCCAGGCCCAGGGTTCAGCCTCCATACTGACAAAAAAAAAAAGCTGTGAAGGAGCTGGGAATGTGGCTTAGTGGTAACAAGCGCTTGCCTAGCATTGATTCCTCACTACCACAGCAACAGAACAAGCTAGGCTGGTGCCATAGGTTCATGCCTGTTATCTACTACTCAGGAGGCTGAGATCTGAGGATTGTGGTTTGAAGCCAGCCCAGGCAGAAAAGTCCATGAGATTCTTCTTCTTCTTCTTTTTTTTTTTTTTTGGGGGGGGTCCGGTCATGGGGCCTGAACTCTGGGCTTGGGCACTGTCCCTCAGCTCAAGGCTAGAGCTCTACCACTTGAGCCACAGAGCCACTTCCAGCTTTTTTCTTCTTGCTTATGTGGTGCTGAGAAATTGAATCCAGGGCCTCAAGCATGCAAGGCAAGCGCTCTGCCACTGAGCCACCTTCCCAGCCCCGAGATTCTTATCTCTAATAAACTACTCAGAAAAGGCTAGAAGTGGTGCTGTGGCTTAAGTGGTAGAATACTACTCTTGAGCACAAAGAGGCTCAGGGACAGAACTCAGGCCCTAAGTTCAAGCCCCAAGACCAGCAAAAAATAAATTAAAAAAATTAAAAAAATGAATGAATAAAAATGAAGTAAAATTGGTGTGTGTGTGCTGGGGCACGGGGGCTTGAACTCAGGGTCACATACTCTCTCTTGCCTTTTTTCACTCATAGATGGTACTCTACTCCTTATCCATGCATTTAGTTAAATAAAATACATCTCCCATCTTTTTTTTCTTTTTTTTTTCTGGGCCCAAGGCTTGAACTCTGGGCTTGGGCGCTGTCCCTGAGTTACTTTTGCTCAAGACTAGTACTCTGCTACTTGAGCCACAGCACCACTTCCAGTTTTTTTTTTGAGTAGTTTATTGGAGATAAGAGTCTCACAGACTTTCTTGCCCAGGCTGGCTTTGGACCATGATTCTCAGATGTCAGCCTCCTGAGTAACTAGGAGTATAGGCGTGAGTCACTGGTACCCGGCAAATAAAACAGACTTCAAGTCACTATATGACACTTAATATTCCAAGGCAGTTAGTAAAGGCTTCCATATTTTCCCAGGTCTCCTCATACTTTGCTGTATAACTTGCCTTCTAAGTTAACAGCCTCGCCGGGCACTGGTGGCTCACGCCTATAATCCTAGCTACTCAGGAGGCTGAGATCTGAGGATCGCGGTTCAAAGCCAACCCAGCCAACCTGGGCAGGAGAGACCGTGAGACTCCTATCGCCAATAAACCACCAGAAAACCGGAAGTGGCGCTGGAGCTCAAGTGGTAGAGCGCTTGCCTTGAGCTGAAGAGCTGAGGTTCAGTGCCCAGGCCCAGAGTTCAAGCCCCACGACTGACCAAAAAAAAAAAAAAAGTTAACAGCCTCTGAACAGTACAGCTTCAAAATGAGAGCATTTTAAATGTAGGCTAAAGTCTTTGGGAAATAACCCTCCCACCCCCAAATACAATAGAACCACTGTCATCAGCCTTGTCTAGTGAGCCATTTTCTGCAGTATAAGCAACTAAAGCTGCATACCAGGTTATACTTCAGCGATGCTGCTGCATAAATAAGGAAACGGAATGCCACCTTTGCTTCTTTAGCTGCACAACAGGCCAGGCCACATGGTTATGAGGTGCAAACTACAGAAACGCCAGACAACAAGGATGGGATTTTCTGCTCCATCAGCTCAAGCTCTAATTCTGACTTCAAGAAGCTTATGGAACACAGGATTAGTGGCTGGTGCTGTCTTGTCTTCAGCTAAAGATAGGGGAGACCACTGAGATGAGTTCGTTCATTTTTTAGAAAGTGGTAAGTTCTAAAGCTTACATAGAAAATATTTATGAAGTGGTACGCTTAGAAAGGTTAGAAATAACTTTTTTTTCCCCTATCTTTTCTTTTCTTCCCTTTTTTGGGTGCCAGTCCTGGGGCTTAAACTCAAGGTCTGGACCACTTGAGCCACAGAGCCACTTCTGGCTTTTTCTGAGTCTCATGGGCTTTTCTGCCCACACACTGGCTTCCGAGTGTGATCCTCAGAACTCAGCCTCCTGAGTAGTTGGGGTTACAGGGGTTAACCATCAGCACCTGGCTGGAAATAACAAATCTCGTAAGTAGACTTATTAAGCAGCTGCAGAGGACTCTTCAGATCTGCTCCAGCAAGAAAGAAAAGAAGAGAAAAGAAAAGAAAAAGACAATAACAAAGCTTCTTCCTTGTCAATGTATTAAAAAGTTGCAAGAGCAAATCGGGTGCTGATTGAAAGCTTTGGTCTTCACTCGTTTACTTCCGGCCAGTTAGCTCTGCTCTGGCCGCGGAGCGGACCCGGGTTCTGGGCGAGGGGAGAAGCAGGGGGGGCACGAAGGCGGCCTCGGTCAATCACCAAAACGCAAGGCACCATTTTGAAGGAAAAAGCAAAAAAAAAAGGTGCCTGCGTTGTCAACAGGGAAAGGAGATGAATGGCGAAGGGGTCTTGTTGGGTCCCAGACCTACACACACTCTGACACGTCCAGCCCCGGGCTCCCCGCAGGCCCGCACGCCCGGATTCCAGGGAGCGTGGGCAGGGGCGCAGTCAGAACCCGCGAGGCCCGCGGGTGGGCGTCCCCGGCAGGGTGGACCGGCCGTCCCGGAGGCCGAGGCTGGTGCTCGGCCGGCCTCCAGCACCCCGCACGCCATTTCCCCCGAACACCGCGCAGGCCTCGGAGGCCCGGGGGGAATGGTGGTGGTGGTGGTGTCCGCCTTTCTCCAGATCCGGGCGACTGTGCTCTGCACCCGGGGGGGGCCCTGCACCCCGGGAGCCGGAGCCCTTCCCTTCCCGCCCCCACCCCGCGCGTGACCTACTTTCGGTACACGCTCCGTTTTCCCGCGCACTGCGCATGCCCGGCAGAGGGACCCAGCCGAGGGTCGGAGCGGAGGAAAAGTTTCCGATGCACATGCGCAGTGGGGCGACGGGCGGGCGCCCCCTCCCACCGCCGGCGAGCCGTACAAGGCCTTGCTGGCCGCCGGCGCCTCCAGCTCTCCGCCTCCCCCCGGCCCGGGCTCCCCGAGGGCCCGGACTTTCCCCGCGTCTCGTCCTGACCTCCCACGCTGGCTGCATTAGGGATGTGCACCGAATGGGTTTTTGCGGGTGAAGGGGGTGAGCGGGCGGGGCAAGACCGCGTCCTCGCTTTAGCTGAACCCCAGGAGCCGTCTGGGGGCCGGCTGGAGGTGGGCGCCGCGGGTTTGCCTTGCAGGAACACCCAATGGCTCGGCTCCAGCACCCCGCAGCCAGGAAAGGCAGGGCAGGAATCAGACCCCGTTCTCGCGGCCTCTCGGCCAAAGAAATTCCCAGTTGAGCTGTGGGTGGGGAGGCAAGGGGGCGAGCCTCACCCCACTTGTAATCCAAGTCTGGGTAACCAGACCCAGGTAGGGGAAAAGGGAAAAAAAAGGTCTCCAGGCAGGGAAGGGAAAACTGTATACATCTGAAACCCGAGCATCTCCTAATACTTCCTAATACTTAAGATTCTGTGTGCGAGTCTCCTCCCACGGAAAGGCCTACCCCACGACGAGACTCACCAGGTCCTGGGCAAAGCTCCCCTCCAGGGTGTTAAACCTCCCTAATCCTTCCTCCCACACAAGCTGCTTTCACCGATGCTCGAGAGACAGATGGGGGCAGGCGCCCGAAAAAGCAATAGGGGTGTTTTTTCTGGGAAATCGGAGATGAGGGACCTACTCAGAGTAAGATGAGGGGGAAGGAGAAACAAATGCATATAGGTGCCGTTCAGGCCCTAGAAACCCTGCCTGCTGGTCCCCAAGTTGTTCCCAGGGGAAGGGAGGGCCTGCAGGCTGTCCCTCCTTTGCTACCCCAGAATTCTGGTCCAGGGTTCAGGTCCAGCCTCTGGAGGGGAGTTAAGGAGTAGGGTGCCAGTCTCCTAGATGCCTAACCTACATGAATCGACTCACTGGCATAACTCTAGAGGTACTTTTGTTTTTGTTTTCCACCCGGTTTTCCCTCAAAAGCACATTAGAGGATAAAGAGCTCAAGCTGAAAGGAATTCAAGCTCAGGATCCCAAAGGGCAGTTCCACCAACGGGTCCCATCACCAAACATGGGGTATCGGACCTCCCTCTCCCTTCCATCCCTCCGGCTCCAGCGGACCAGCAAGAACCCGTATTCATAATCACCACCACCACCACCCTTTCCCTGGCTGCACACGGGAAAAGCAGCAGAAAAACAAGGCCTGGATCCCCCCCCACACACCCTCTTTCCTTCCTCGGGTTTATTTAACGGCGGTGGGAGTTGGGTTTCTTTGCATAACAAGGAAATAAATCAAGCGAATATTCTGGAGAGCTGGCCTCGGGAAGGGAAGGGAGGTAATGCACCCCACTCCAGAGGCCACCCTTGGAAGTCAGAGAGCCGAATGGGGATAAATGTGGGTACCCAGGACCGGAGAGAGGCGCCCAGGGGAAAGTGGGGGGGGAGCTCGAGGCAAATGCTGACCGGGCGGCGGAGGGTCCCCCAAGCCCGGGAGCCGGAGCGGGCGGGGTGGGAGGCGGTCGAGCAGGTGGGTGTCAGGGTGCCCCCCTCCCCGCAGGTCCCCGCACTCACTCGGGTGTCCGCGACGGCGGCGGGACGGCGTGCCGGCCACGGGGCGGCTTCTCCGGCCGGCCAGGGTGGTCCTGAGCGCGGGGCGCACGCCGACGGCTCTCCGGGGCTGCCCCGGGGCCGCAGAGCCGGGGTTCGAGGTGTCCTCTTCGTGGTTGAGAGTTGGGGGCCAGAAGAGGGCTGTGGGCTCGGACTCTTTATTGAATTCTTTCAGCCTTGCGGAGGTCGGGTTTGGCGGCCGGGGGCCGAGGACGGGCGGGTGGACGGGGCCGGCGGCGTCGGCCCGGGGATGGTAGACCCGAGAGTGGTTCGCGTTGGGGAGCGGAGGACGGAAGGGTTGTAGCCGGCGGGCAGGTCCTGCTTTTCGGGCCACGCGTCGCCCGTGCCACCGCACTTAGTCCCGCCGGAGACCCGCTCCTTCCCGCGCCCCGGCCCGAAGTGAGCAAAGTCAATGAAAAGTTTCACCCTTAGCAACCCTGCGCAGGGATCCGGCTTCCCCGCCCCGGCGTGATGCGTCCCTCCGCCCTGCCGGGGCGGGGCCGGGCGCCGGGCCGGAACTACTTTCCTGCCTGTGGCCGCTTAACCCTTAGCGCCCGGGTGTGGGGCCGCCCAGGGGACCCGGGTGCGCCCTGGATCTTTCCTTAGGGACGCCCAGATTCGGTCCCCCGACCCTGCCGTGCAGCCACCTTCGGAGCGAGGCTTCCTCCTCCCCTTCCCATCACAGTGTTGCCAGGCTGTCCCCCCCCCCCCCGGCTCAGCGTGTAGGGTGCTTCCCCAGGAGGCCCGAGCTCGGTGGGGGCAGGGACCGTGCTGGGATGCAGTGGGTGCCCCGGGACCGTCCAGGGGCGCAGGGGCACTTGCCCTGGATGCATTGGATGGGTGAATGTCGTGGGGGGCAGAACCGTCCCCCAAGGCCACCTTCGCGCGTGGCTCCAGGTCTGTCGATGTCGATACGGCTGTCCTGCGGCGCGCACCTCCTTCCTTCTCGGATGGAGGAAACTGGGGGCCCCAAGGAGAGCTTTAGAAATGTTTCTGTACTCAGGTTGGCCCTAGCATTCTTACCGCTGCAACAACGCACCTTTGTGAAGGAACTTAGTAACGAGGAGGGAGGGCGCGGGGGGGGGGAGAAATCTGGGGCCTGGGGACCCTTGTGCGGGAGGAAGTCAAGCCAAGGAGGGAGCCAGAAAGCCAAGGAAAAGAGCCAAGCACCACGATTAACCGTCTACAGCGCGCCCCCCTCCTTCCGATCCCCACTCCCGGCTGAGTTCCGGCGCCAGGAGAAGGCCAGGGCCAGCGCCATGCGTGTGCGGAGCCGCGGACACCCCAGCTAGAGATCCCCATAGGGGGTACAAGTGAGCCGCAGGTTTAGCAATCAATAGCCCCGCGGTACCCGCGCAGGGCGAGGCGGCCTGGCACACTTGCACACCCGACGAAGTGTCTGTCGGGAGGTGAGGCCGGGCTGGCGAGTGATGGAGACGTGCGCTAGGCCCACGGGGGCCTGGACCTCTGTGTCGGTGCGGGGCACAGCTAGTTGGAGGGTAGGGAGGGCTCGTGCTCGGCTGAGGACACAGGCGGACTGGACTGACAGATGGAGGGGCCCGGGGACGCAGGTCTTTCACAGGAATCATCTGCCCGTTTGGAATGTCCCTTTCCGATCCTCCGCCTCCCTGGGTTATTTTCATTCTTGGCAGCTGCGGACCCCACGTGGGGTGGTGGTGAGGTCGCAAAGTTTCCACTTACAAACAGTTTGCATCTTATTTTTCTTGCTCACATTTTGGGGGGTGGGTGGGAGAAGCATGGGCTGAGGTTTTAAATTCGCTCTCCTTGATTGCAGTACGACGTCAAGCTGGAGGGCAAAACACCGAGACCTACGGGGCGGGGGGGCGGGGAGGCGAGGAGCGCGCCGGCCCTCCCCCACACCCGAGCGCTCCAGCCCCGGGCACCTCCTGGGACTACTTGCTTCGTGCGTCAGCGAGTGGCACAGCGTCACGCACACGCCTCCTCGGCCTTTCCCCGCTTCGCCCCCCCACCCCCTTCCTCCCCAGCTCTCCACATCTCCTCCCCGCCTGCGCGTCCCACCTTGGCAGTGAGACAACTCTGCCCTCAAAGCTAAAAATTGACTAACGGGGTAGCAACAGACCTCTGATTGGTCGGCGAGTGAGGGCGGCGCGGCGTCTGATTGGGTTGTGGATGTAACCACTAGGACTGAACGCTAGGTAGCCTGTGCTTTGCGCAAGGCATGCTGGTATTTGTAGTCATTAATTAGAGCCTGTCACGGAAAGATGAGGGAGAGCTGGAATGATCCTGTCCTAGAGTACCTCGGGAAGAAGGGATGGTGTACGTGTTAGCAGATATAGGTAGACATCTGCTACCATTCCGGGAAGTTTCTGCGTGATCCCGCTTGTGTTTAAATCTCTCTTGCAGTGCTGGAAACACAGGCCCTGGGCAGTACCACTAAACCCCGAGAAATCCAGCCTTCTTGGCGATTTGGAGCTCTGGGTGAAGGGTTAGAATATAAATAGAAGACAAAGTAAAGGGGGAAAAGGTGTCAACTCTTTCCTAACCGAAGATGTCTCGATTTATCATGTGGTGAGGATTTTTTTTTCTACCCCAGCATGTGATTTCATCTTGCCAAAGCATAATTATAAGTTCCTACTCAAACATGCCACATTCACCTCCCATTTTGAATAATCATCTGTTGTAAAGGTACACACCTTCAAAACAGTGAGTTCTGGGAGCAACCCAGTGCAGAGCAACTCCTCTGTCTGAGTAATGCAAGTTATGCCAGGTGTTTTGGTGCCAGTGACAAGTCAGACTGGTCATAATTGGCTCCAATTAACTCAGGATGAATCACTAATATAAACACACAATCAGAGTAAAAAATTTTGTATGGTTTCATTGAAGTTATGTGTCATTGAGGCTATCTAGGAAAATAGTCTGTAGTTTGATTCTTCAAATATACTTCTGTAGCTGGGCAGGAGCAGACAACCACAACAGAAACTAGCACTGGGAAAGTGGCTCCTGAGGGCAAATGATTTGCTTTGTGTGTGCCAGTATTGGGATTTGAACTTGGGAGTCTGGGTGCTGTCCTTTAGCATTTTCTCTCAAGGCAAACACTCTACTACTTGATTCACACCTCCATTGCTCCCTTTTTGGTGGTTAATTTAAGTCTCATGGACTTCCTTACCCAGGCTAACTTTGAACCACTATCCTCAGACTTCAATCTTGTAAGTAGCTAGGACCATAGGCTTGAGTTACCAGCACCCATCTACAAAAACTTTGTATGAGGCCTTTTCTTTCTGCTGGTACTGGGGCTTGAGCTTGGTGCTTGGGCACTGTCCCTGAGCTCTTTTGCTCAGGCTGGTGCTTTATCACTTGAGCTACAGCACTACTCTGGCTTTTTGTGGTTAACTGGAGATAAAGAGTCTCTTGAGTTTATCCTGCTTGGGTTGGCTTCAAACTGCAATATTCAGATCTCGCCTCCTCAGTAACTAGAATTACAGGTGTGAGCCACTGACTGGTGACTGGCATATAAGGCCTTCTTAGTAAGGGTCAGGTACCTAATGAAATTTAATCTTCACCACTTACAAGGAAGACATGATTATCCAGAAATACAGAGGGACTAAATGACTTGATAGATAAAGGTCAACAGTGGAGCAGAATAGAAATGTAAAGCCCCCCTCCCCCTTTTTTTTTTGCCAGTCGTGGGCCTTGAATTCTGGGCTTGGGTGCTACATTCTCCAGCTCAAGGCAAGAGCTCTACCACTAGAGAGCCACAGCGCCACTTCTGGTTTTCTGGTGGTTAATTGGAGATGAGTCTCAGGGACTTTCCTCTCTGGGCTGGCTTTGAACCGCAATCCTCAGATCTCAGCCTCCTGTGTAGCTAGGATTACAGGCATGAATCAGCACCTGGCATATATATATATATATATATATATTCTTAAAAATACATATATAATTTAAAAGAGTAAGCATACATGCATTAGCAATATTGTCATTCATATAATCCTGGCTGCTTCAGAGGCTAAAGCAGAAGAACCTAAGTTGGAGATCAATCTTGGGAATATATAGCTAAGACCCTAGATTTGTGTGTGTGTGGGGAAGCAATGTTGAAGGGATTAAATGGCCACATATTTTCAGAGTACATGTATGACAAAATGCAGAAGCATACCAATTCTTTTTTTTTTTTTGGTCGGTCATGGGGCTTGCACTCTGGGCCTGGGCGCTGTCCCTCAGCTCTTCAGCTCAAGGCACTTCCGGTTTCTAGTGGTTTATTGGAGATAAGAGTCTCACGGTCTCTCCTGCCCGGGCTGGCTTTGAACCGCGATCCTCAGATCTCAGCCTCCTGAGTAGCTAGGATTACAGGCGTGAGCCACCAGCGCCCAGCATACCAATTCTTTTTAAGAGCCTAGAAAACGGAATATAATAGGAATACTAATCATACATTTAGGAAAGAGAACATTTCTCAGAGCTGACTATGAGTTCAATTATTTCAACTACATCTAGGCAGGTAGCAGTGCTTACTTCAATAATGGAAATGAATACCAGTAATTATGACTAGATAGTTATTCTTGTTTTTTTTTGTCAGTCGTGGGGCTTGAACTCTGGGCCTGGGCGCTGTCCCTCAGCTCTTCAGCTCAAGGCAAGTGCTCTACCACTTGAGCCACAGCACCACTTCTGATTTTCTGGTGGTTTATTGGAGATAAGGGTCTGACTTTCCTGCCCAGGCTGGCTTTGAACCATGATCCTCAGACCTCAGCCTCCAGAGCAGCTAGGATTACAGTGGTGAGCAACTGGCGCCTGGCTGACTGGGTGGTTATTAAGTAGCAGAAGGCTAGTGAGCTAGCTTGCTGGTAGACTTGCATGAATATAAGCCCTGAACTTGATACCATGCAACTCCAGAAACAAAATGCAACTGTATTTTTTTTAAGCTTACTTATTTATAAAACATTTGAATTCAAAACATTAAATTCACCAACACTAAGGCAATTGTGTGTGTATGTGTATACTTTTTGCTAGTCATGGGGCTTGAACTCAAGGTCTGGGCACTGTCCGAGTTGCATTTGCTCAAGGCTAGCACTCTACCGCTTGAGCCACAGCACCACTTCTTTTTCTGTTTATGTGGTACTGAGGAATCAACTCTACCACTAAACCACATTCCCAGCATATATATATTTCTTTCCGGTTATTTAATTTGAAATGTCTCCCAGACTTTTCTGCTTAGACTGGCTTTAAATATAGATCCTCAGATCTCAGCCTCTTGAGTAGCTAAGTGGCATGAGCCACCTGAAAATGATCTTGACTCCACCTGATGCTTTAGAACTTTCCAAATACATCACCAGGCTCAAGACTTTTCCTGTTGTGTCCCCCACACACATGCCCTGTCCACCCTGTCCTATTTGGTATCTTTCACAGTTCAGTTTGTTC